ACACTTGTGACGTGGGTATTGTGACTCGTTGCCTGCCCGCTCACTCGCTCCGGTCGGTGGCGCCACTGCATGTAAAACTCATCGTCGTGTGGCCTCGAAAGGAAGCCTGAGCAATTTATACGACCTTGAAGCTTCAACATTGGAAAGAGCGTGTTCTACCGCTGCTGGCGGAAAACCGTGGGGGGTCACTACCGGTTCGATCTCCTCCCCCACCCTCCCGAAGTTCGAACCCCTCCCCCCCCCCCGTTCATTATGAAAAAGGGGGGGGGGTTCACTACCGGTTCGAACCCCCCTCCCCCTCCCCCTCGAAAACCGGGGGGGGTCACTACCGGTTCGAACCCCCCCCCCTCGAAAACCGAGGGGGGGGTGCGGACAGTGGTGGGGACGGTGGTGATGGGGACAGTGGTGAGGGGACAGCGGGACAGTGGTGGGGACAGCGGGACAGTGGTGGGGACGGTAGTGGTGGGGACAGTGGTGAGGACAATGGTGGGATCAGTAGGGACAGTGGACAGTGGTGGGGACGGTGGGACAGTGGTGTGGGGACAGTGGGAATGAGGTGGGAACAGTGGGACAGTAGAGGGTACAGTGGTGGGGACAGTGGTGAAGGCGGTGGCGAGGACGGCGGTGGGACAATGGGACAGAGGTACAGTGGGGACAGTGGTGCGAACAGTGGGGACTGTGGTGGGAACAGTGGGACAGCTTAGTGGGACAGCGGAGGAGTCAGTGGGACAGTGGGGACAGTGGGGATAGTCGGGCAGTGGTTGGGGCCGTGGAAAAAGTGGAGAGAGTGGAACCCTGGTGGGAACAGTGGTGGGGACAGTGGGGACAGTGCGACAGTGGTGGGGGGCACTGGGTGGGGAGAGTAGGGACGGTGGTGGAGCCAGTGGGGACAGTGGTGGTGAGGACAGTGGTGCTGGGAACAACAGTGGGGGATGTGGTGCGGACGGTGGTAGGGACCGGGAGTCGTTTGCTGGCGGTGAGGGGGGGGGGTGGGGAGGGGCTCGAACCAGTAATGACCCCCCCTCCGGTTTTCGAGGGGAGGGGGGGGGGGTTTTGAACCGGTAGTGACCCCCCCCGGTTTTCGAGGGGGAGGGGGGGGGGGAGGGGGGGGGGTAGGGGGGGGGGGGGGTTAGGGGAGAGGGCGGGGGTTAGGGGAGGGTGGCTCTCGCCGTAGCGCTGCGCACATTCGTTTTGAACATGTGCAAGAGCTTCGCGGATTGAGGGCGGGTCGTTTTCAAAATACGGTGTTCGTCAGAGCGCTGCACACACACACACTCGTCTGCAAGAGTTTCACGGATTGAGGGCAGGTGGTTTTCAATATGTAGTTCTCGCTTTAGCGCCGCGCACATTCGCATTAAACAGCACACGAGTTTTACGGATTACGGGCGGGTCGTTTTCAAAATGTGGTTCTTTTTTCAGCGCCGCGCACATTCGTTTCAAACATTCACAAGAGGTTCACGGATGGAGTTGTTTGTTTTTTTTTTCAAATTGCGGTTCTCGTTTCAGCGCCGCGTACATTCGCTTTATACGTTCGGAAGAATTTCACGCATTGCCATGGTCAACGTGCCAGCCATGGCGTATTGGAAGGATTTAGGACTGTGAGGGCGCAGTAGTGATATTGATTCGCGTCGTTGACGTCGCAGGAACGGTGTTCTGGAGTGATTCCAGATCGTCAAGACACAACTGTCATGTTGATTACTGGCGTTGGAGTCCCGAGAATGGTGTTTGGCATTCTTCAGGGTCTTCAAACAGTTTTCTCCCGACGGGGCACTCCCTCCAGTGGAAATGAATATTTGAAGGGCCTATGAAGAAAGAACTTGGAGGGAGGGTTTATTATTGCAACATGGTGGATGAGTTTTGGGTTTGCACTGGTCCTCATCCTCCGCCTCCTCATCTCGTTTTTCTCATATAAATCATCCCTGTCGCAACCCGGGGCCCCTGGCGTTTCGCCCGAGACTTCCGTACCATCCATGACCCTGAAGTTTAAAATTTTGACAATTGCTTCATAAATGGACGGCGGGCTGCTTCCAAAATGTTGCTCTCGCCTGAGCACCGCGCGCATTCCTGTAAACAAATGCAAGATTTGACGGATTGAGGGCGGGCCGTTTCCAACATGTGGCTCTCGCCTTAGCGCCTCGCACATTCATCTTGAAAGTTGCAAGAGATTCGCGGATGGAGGGCGGGTGGTGTTCAAAATGTGGTTCTCGCCTTAGCGCCGCACGCACTCGTCTTAAACAATTGCAATGCGCTTAGTTTTGCTAGCAGTCCACTCCGTCCACTGCCTAAGGGCATGGATTAAGGGACTTAGCATGCTGGCTCATGCATCTACCCCCTCTTTGTCTGTCCCCGTCCCTCCTTCTCTGCTCCCCCTCTCTCTCCTACGTACGACTGTGTGTGATTTTAGTTTTTCGGCTGATTCGGGCAAATTTCGGATGTCCACACAGCTGATCGTGCACAGGTCAAATTATCACAGGAATCTTGAAGTCAGAATTCGGGGCGTGCCGTCGCGGATAGGCCGGTACACTCCGTCAGGCCTGCCAGGTTTCGCTGAAATTGAAAGAAAGTGAGGGCGCATGGTTTTTAACATGTAGCTCTCGCTTTAGCGCCGCGCACATTCGTATTAAAAATTCGCAAGAGCTTCAGGGATTGAAGGCAGTGTGCCTCTTGCCTTAGCGGAGTACGCATTCGACTTGGAAAATTACAGGAGCTTCACGGATGGAGGGCGGTCCCTTTTCAAAAGGTGGTTCTCCCGTTAGAGCCGCGCACATTCGTTAAAACATTTGTTTGGTTGGCGAGTCCCCAGTGTGAACATCCAGTGCGCATATCCATTTGGATTGTTTTCAAGAGGTAGGTTTTTCCTGCTTGAGTTTTTCGGATTTGGTCGCATGTCGGACATGGTTAGCAGCCAGTCACCGTGGTCATCGCCGCCCCTTACTTGTCCGCCCTCTGTCTGTGTTCTAATACGTCGTCCTGCCGGCACTGCCACGATGAATGTGGGAAGTTCCAGAGACAGTGTCCGCGCGGAGAGACGCCGCGAGATCACGGAGGAGAAGCGCAATGAACACCGCAATGGGAACCCATCAGAAATCCAGTGAACATTGAATGCCCCTTCGGTTGGACAAAGTTTGGTTCGTTTCAAGACAAATGTTTTGTTCATCGTTTTTGGTTTTTTTGTGGCCCGTCGAGGGGCCTTTCGCGGCGCCCCTAGTGGCGACGGCAGTGTGAATTCTCATGTCGTCGTCGAATTGCCTGGCTGTTCACTGGAGTCGCGTTCGCCGCATATTCGGAAGCATTCTTGCCATCGCAGCCATCGCGAGAGGGCCCCCCCCACAAACGCGGCCATCGCGCTTGTCGGAGGCGCTGGCAAAGCTCCCCCAGAAAAATCCAGAGCACCTCGGAATTTCAGCCATCACATCTTCGGACACAGCCAGCTTGACATTTGCAAGAGTTTCATTGGTTCCCATGGTTAATGTACCGGAAACAATGCTTTGGAACGGTTCAAGATTGCCAGTGCGCAATTGTCAGTTTGATTCGTGGCGTTGAAGTCCCGAGAATGGTGTTTGGCACGCTTCAGGATTTTCAAGCGGTTGTCTCCCAAGGGAGCCTTTCACTCAGTGGAAGTGAATCCTTGTAGTGGTCTATGAAGAGAGAGCTGAGGGGGAGGGATCAACATCGTTGATGAGTCTTGGGTTTGCACTGGTCCTCCTCCTCCTCCTCCTCATCATACTCCTCCTCGGAGAGGGGAGCTGGAAGAGAGAGCTCTCAAACCGACTTGCGCCAAGGGGGCTGGTGGGGTCTGATTTCGGGGGAGCTCCAGGTTCTTGAGGTCCCTCCTCTGGCCTTTTCTTCTGGCGCTCCTCGTGCACCTGGGCGCGGGGCACTCGATTTTCTCGTTGTCCCTGTTTGCTCGGTTCGGTCCCTCGCTCGGCTCTGTCGGGTCCTGGTCCGTCCCTCGTTTCTTTCGGCCCCTCTTCGGGCCCCTCGCTCGTCGTTTCGGCGCCACGGGCAGGAGTGTTCGGCAGACGATCACCCGCGCGCAAATCAAAAAAATAGAATCAGGAAGGGTCTCCGTTCCTCAGCCGAGGCTGCTCACGGTAAGACTTCGACTGCTCGCGAGCACGCTCTTGCTGCAGACAAAAGTCGAGGGAGGAGAAATCGCCCCGACCCCCATCATTGCTGTTTGCTAGACAGCCCAGGGCGTTAGCTAAACAGCCATGCCCTGTTCGATTCCTTTCTTGGGTGCGTTTCCTAAACGGCTGCACCTGTCTGCGCTCGAAAGGAAGTTGTCCGTGGGAGGCACGCTGGCTGCCCGCTTCGGTCGCCGTGCACGCCCGGCAGAAACTCTGACCGTGCACGCTCGGAGGTCATTGTAGTCCCGCCGCCGCCATGTAAGCCCAGCTGCGACCACGGGGCTGCCTCCAGCGCAGCGCGGCTGCACAGATTTGCCGCCCGCCGCGCTGCCGTGGGACCGATGGCTGGGGCGGCCAAGCCTGTGGGGCGGCTCCAGTTCGACGTGCATTGGGTCACCCCCTGGGGCGCGAAGATAATCGCGCTTCGTGCATCGCGGCTTGGGTTGGAGAGGCGCCCTTCTCTGGGGACGGCGGCGCGGGGGCGTGAAGGTAACCGCGCATCGCGGGGCGCGATGCGCGAAGTTAGGTGACTTAGATATAAGAATGCGGTAAGTTCGCGTCGTGTCGACGCGGCTGCGACCCCAGCTCCCTCGTTTGAGGTTGAACGCCGTCAGCGTCCCCAGAAGCGGCCAACATGGAGCGATCTGGCGATTGAAGAGCCTCCGAGCGATGAAGGCTGACAGATCCACGCGGTGCCAGAAGCCTCTGGTGGGGTCGTCACGACACGAACCTGCCGTGCCCCAGCGAGGCGCCGGGCGGCGATCGCTGGACCTCCCCGGGTCCCAGTTGATTTCTCCATCCTCCTCCCGCTCCTCGGCCCCTCCCTCCCCCCCGCCCAGCTGGCTCGTGAGCCCCCCCCCCTCCCCCTAGGACGAGGAGGACATGTTCGAGAGCGCGCGCATCTACATAGAGAAAGTTGGCCGGCCGTGGCCCTGGCCGCGGTTAGTCTGCGGCAGGGGCGTGAGCACGGGGGAGCTGTTCCATGGACGCTGTTGCGCCCAGGGCGTCGTGGCTGCGCTCGGCCACCCGTCGGCTCCGCGTGTGGAGCAGCCCCGCGTGGCTGCGGAGGAAGTCTCGCTGTCCGCTCGCGCGGGGCCCATCGGTCGGAGTGCTGAGGCGCTTCGCGAGCGACGTCCTCACCACTCTGCCGCGGGTGCTCTCTTGCCTGGGTCTTATGGCATTGGTGCTCGTCGGTCGCTGGACGTGATTACGCGGACGTGACATGTCAGACTTTCTTGAACACCTCATGGTTTGAATCACGGCAGAGTTTCGCCCTCAGGTGCATCGCGAAACGGTGGTCAAAACCATTATTATTTTAAACGGCTTCCTCGGCGGTGACCGAGGGGGGGACGTGAGAAGGAAGAGGCCTTCTCAGAAGGCGGCGGGGCTTCTCAGAAGCCCTTGCGCCTTCTGAGAGGTTTCCCGTGTCTTCGGGGAAGGCTTAGACAATTTTCCAGAAGGCTTGGGGACTTCCGAGCCTTCTGAGAAAGCCCGCCTCTTCTCACCTCCCCTCCCGAGCCCGCCGCCGATGCAGGGGTTTCCTCCTCTCCCTCCTCCGTTGCCACGCGTTGTGCCCATGTCTCGCGCGCATGCCTCGGCACACGCTGCGGCACCTCCGTGGCCCCACTCGCCTGGGCTCCCGAGGCCCGGGTACTCGCCCGCACGGGCAGCTCGCGGGCCACGCTCTCTGCAGCGCGCCCGGGCCCGGCGCCTTCTCGTCGGATCGCCCCCTCCCCCACCCACCCCCGCAAGCCTGGCCCTCGCCTGCGCCTGGACGGTGCGTTTCCCTCTTCCGGCGAGGACCATCGAGGAGCATCTTGCACCATCTTGCGACAAGCATACACGCGCGAAGTCGAAGCATGCACGGGGAGTGGACGTCCGAGCGATGGCGAGCTGCCCGTCCCGCCCCTCTGCACGGTCCCTCTGTTTCCACGGCATCCTTCGTTGAATCGGGTTGTCCAGGTTCCTAGGGCTCGTCGGGCTCATCCGCGATGCTATGCTCTCGTGCCAGGTTGTGCTATGCCACGTGTCATGATACTGTCATGCCACGTTATGCAATGGCACGTTATTGCTACGCCGTTTGTTACCAAACCATACATTGCGATGGTGATGTTGAGACACGATGACACTGTGCATTGCCGTGTCATGGTATAACTCGTCATGCAGTCAGCGCGCACGGCAAGGAGGAGTAGCCTCACTAAGAGTAGTATTAAATCCGTGCTTCTTCGGTACGCCTCTTTTGCAACACGCTGCGCAACCGCTTTCACTTGGGCGCTCAAGGGGCTTGCATCCGTGCCGCGCGTCCTTATGCATTGTACGCGTTCATTGGATGCCATGCCACAGTCTCAGGCGCTGAAATAAGGAAGAGCTTGCGGTTCCTAATTCGGTCCTTCCATGATTGTTCTTCTAGTTCTTTTGGTGCGCCCAGGCGTTTTGTTGGACAATACAGGCCTCCGTTCAATATTTGGCGTTCCTTCTGGTTGTAGCTTGCTTGGCTGCATGCTAGGGTCCTGCTTTGTTACGCAATGCTAAGATGTGCTACCGGTACGGCGCGCTATGATATCGCGCCAATGTTAGGTTGCGTGGTGGTATGAACGCTATGGTATGGCAGCCGCATGTAACGCTGCGTTGTCTGATTCGGAATCATGCGCACTGCTAGCACACTACATGCGAAGTACATGATATACTGATCTGCGGTGGTAGATACCGTGTTCTGTCGTGTTGTGCTATGCCCTGACATGTAGAAGACATCCCTGGTTCGAGTCGCGCTTGGAGTCGCGCCTGGTCGTGCGTTAGCCGTTGCTGGGATTCCGGCCCTCCGAGGCCCAGTGCACGCCAGTATTTCCGGCTCCGCCTCCCCCCCCCCCCCCTTGGCTCCCCTTCCTCGGGAAAGAGGGGGGGGAGGAGGAGGAAGGTTGATGGTGAGAGGCGTCTAGAGGCGTCCGCAGGTCCCTGAAACCGCAAGAAAAGCTCCAGAGGCCCCCAGCCCAGAAAGGGTCAAAAATGTTCCGAGGTCTTCCCCATCTTGGAAGAGGGGGGGGGGTCAGACGACGGTTTTTTTGGTTGCACCCTTGTGACTGCTGGGCCTACACCTGTCGTATTCCCACTCCCGAAAAAAACATCATTCAACATTGGTTTACCGCAGGTTGATTGGGGGACTGGGGGAGGGAGGCGTCCAGAAGTTTCCGAATGCAGCATAGCAGGAAACCTCCAAAAGCCTCCAGCCCAAAACGATTCAAAACCTTGATCTTGGACTCTTGATCCTCGCGGGGTGCGCAGGCTGGTGGCGCATCTACAAGGGCCAATCCGTGAGTTCGTCGAAGGAGGAGGGGTACCCAGACTTCCAGCGGATTGTTTTTGTTTAGTTCTTGTCTGTTTTTCCGTAAGTTCGGATCCTTGGGGTCGTTTTCGGATTCGGGGGCCATCCAAATTTGATCCCAGGAGAAGAGACTGCCGTTGGGAAGGGAATCAGACTGCTTTCCAGAAAGTCAATTCATCGGATGTGGGGGCCATTAGGAGCTGGGCGCTGGGGAGCGGCAGAGGATGAGGGCGAGGAGCAGCGGAGGAGAACGGATGATGAGGCGAATGATTTCCGCACGTGCTCGCGTTTCTTGGCTTCTGCTCTGCGCCAGAACGCACAGCGCATGGCCACGAGGGGACAGCGCTCCGCAGCCTCTTTGGATCGCAAGCTTTGGGTGCAGGGTTCCCTGCAGGTTCACTCGCAGCCCAGTTTCGGGGCCTCCAGCTGAGGTCTGCTGGAGCAGCAACTATCGGGAAAGCCTTACGGCTGGTGCCGCCGACCCTGAAGGGGGACGACGACCACGACGGCGGCGGCGGCGGCGATGACGACGCTGACGTTGGGCAGAGTCCTTATTGATGCTTCGTGGGGCCTCCTCGGGGCGCGCTCGTAGGCCTCTGGGGGACATTTTGGGGGGCCTGTTGGGAGCATCTTGGGGGCCTCTTGGGGGTCCCTTCGGGCTTCCCTGGGGCCTCGCGGGGCCTCCTGGGAGCTTCTTTGGGCCGAGGGCTCGAAATGCTCGTTCGGGCTCCCGTGTGGGCACCCTCTTGGAGCCGTGGTGTTGGCCTTCTGGGCGGTCTGGGAGGCCTCTAGGGCCGCCTTGGGGCCCTCTTGGATCGTTGTGGGGCCGTCTTAGAAACCTCTTGGGGGCCTATTGTGCCGATCTTGGTGGCATCTTGGGCCGTCCTGGGGCGTCGGGAAGCCGAAAAGGCGAGAAGCCGAAAAGGCGATGAGGCGAGGCCGAACGGCTCAAGCCATTTTGGCTCAAGGCTTAGCGTTTTTTCTTGTTGGTTCAATCAAGGGCCCTCCCAGGCCCGCATAATGCTTTCATTTGCCATGAGACTCGTACGGTGATTAGCTTGTCTTGCCATTTGAGGAACCAGCACTTTCAGCTCGCTGTATGCAGCGAGCGCTTCCAGGTGTTACCCGAGGACTTCAAGCTTAGATTGCAGAGGAAACATGGCGGAGCGTTTCAAGGACATGTTCACGAATGTGAATATCGTGACTTGGAACAGTCAGCACAGGCCCGCGAGCAGAGTCAAGCAGATTTTCAAGAGCTTTGCCACACGCTACGGGCGCTATTCCTATGTGGCGTTGCAAGAACTCCCGAAGTGGAGAAATTGCGTACACCAGGGACTGGCACTCAGGACCAGAAGGGGTGTAGATTGCGGCATTATTTTACCTCGCGCTTTAACCAGTCGCATTTTTGGGGAGGTCCATGAAACCTATTGGTCTATCGTCGTTGTTGGTTCTCTCATTGCTGCATCTGGGCATATCCTTGACTACACCGTTTCTCATGGAAGCACGACGCTCGAACAGATGACTGAGGCCATTTACACTGCGCGCACGCATGTGCATGGGAAGGGCTTCGAGTCGAAATTGTTCGTCGGTCTCGATGCGAATATCTCCTTCGATGCCGCATGCGCAGGTGTTATTGGGCAGCATGTCATGCAATCGGGAGCAAATCATTCCAGATTCAAGAGAAATGCTCTAGTATCGTTTCTCTCGTCTAACGGGTGCGTGGCTTGGAACATTTTCACAGCAGTCGAGCAGCAAGCAGAGTTGTGCACTAGGCCTGGTAGGAAGTGAAGTGCCCGGAGCCGATCCCAGATCGATTATGTATGTTTTGATTGGGAGTTTTCCGAATGCAAGTACGCAGACCAGCAAGTATATACGATTCTCAGGTGCGAACTTGCGCAGTCAGATCATTACCCGGTAGGCACGTCAATACGGCTGCAGGATGTCAGGGTAACAGTGCCCCCAGAGGTGAAGCTCATGAGGAATCTTTTGCGCGACCAGGCGGAACTCGATTGGACCGACAGCCATGTCAAGCACACGGTTTGGCAGGAAATCCGCAAATCTGATCCCTAATTGAATTCAACCCAAGATTTGCACTAGTTGCATGCAGCGTGCGGTGAATAAGTGCAAAGACGGCCCAGGGGTCACGATTGCAGCGTTGTTGCCCGAAGATGCCGGGAGGGAGAGAGAAGCTGTTAGTGAGCGGAAGACGGGTGAGAGTCAAGCCACGCCGCAACCTTTCTGCAAGAGAGGCAAGACGCATAGACGAGTTCTCACATTGTTAGTCGTTTCCACACGGACAGCGAGTGCACCAGCACCCGTCACTCTTCAGGTGGATGATACAAGCACGTCCGACCGATCGGATTGGAAAGCTGGCGTCGACAGGCTAGCTACACAAATTCCAGACGTCAGAAACCAGATTGAAGAATTTTGATGCCAACACCGAGAGATTGCGATCGAACGTGCCTGCTCACAGGCTGGATGGCAGATCCGCTGGAATGCCAACGTTTGGCACATTTGCTGATGTTTTTTCGCCCATGTCTCGGACGGCACGGCCGGGCGCCGACAGCATCTTGGGCACTGCTTGGTTGGCGGCCAATCTCGACATGAAGGTACGTGTGTACAGGCTCTTTATCAGCCTCTTCGACGACATCATGTGGACGCAGATCGACGTGAACACATGGCAGGGTTTTAGTGTTCTAGGGGTAAACGGCCGGCCCCCAGAAGTTCAGCGATTACCGGTGGATGGGAATGTTGGATCAGTTGCGCAAAGCATACGGCGCGATGTTTCACGAGACAATGAAAAACACAGTTTTGCCCCCAAAACCCGTCAGAAGCCACGGATATAAGAAAGGAGCTTCGGTACACGAGTGTTTTGCCATACTTTTTGG